CGCCTTACTATACATGGTCGTCTTTTTCGGCTAAAACGCCTTACTATACATGGTCGTCTTTTTCGGCTAAAACGCCTTACTATACATGGTCGTTTTTTTCATCGAAAAACGCCTGACTAAACATGGTAGTGTTTTTTTCATCTAAAAACGCCTTAATATACATGGTCGTTTTTTTCGGCTAAAAACGCCTTACTAAACATGGTCGTTTTTTCGGCTAAAAACGCCTCACTATACATGGTCGTTTTTTTCGTCGAAAAACGTCTTACTATACATGGTCGTTTTTTTCGTCGAAAAACGCCTTACTATACATGGTCGTTTTTTTGGGCTAGAAACGCCTTACTATACATGGTCGTTTTTTCGGCTAAAAACGCCTCACTATACATGGTCGTTTTTTTCGTCGAAAAACGTCTTACTATACATGGTCGTTTTTTTCGTCGAAAAACGAAACGCCTTACTACACTGTACATGGTTGTTATATTTGGGTTAAAATGCCTTACTATACATGGTCGTTTTTTTCATCGAAAAACGCCTTACTATACATGGTCGTTTTTTTCGTCTAAAAACGCCTTACTAAACATGGTAGTTTTTATCATCTAAAAAACGCCTTACTAAACATGGTCGTTTTTGTCATCGAAAAACGCCTGACTAAACATGGTCGTTTTTTTTCGGCTAAAAACGCCCAACTATACATGGTCGTTTTTTTCGGCTAAAAACACCTTACTATACACAATCGTTTGTTTCGGCTAAAAACGACTTCCTATTCGTGGTCGTTTTTTTCGGCTAAAAATGCCTTACTATACATCAGGGGTGTATAACATACGTCCGGAACTGGCCCGCAGGGAGGTTTGATCAGGCCCGCAGGATAATTTAAAAGTGGAAAAAATGCACAAAAGACACGGAATGAATATTTTTAATAAGGTGCAATTCGTGGAAGATCCGCTAGGGGGACACACTGTTTTGATCAGAGGAAAAGACAACATTGTTTTGATCACAGAAGAAGACAACAGCAGCCTCAGTCTGTCACTGAGACAGACCCAACACAGACAAATTGAAGTATTCTAAGTTGAAGTATTTAGTTTTGTTGACTGCAAATTTAAAATAAAGCAAGGAGTAGTTTATGTTTGTTTTGTTCACTGCTACTGTTGCAGTTAAAACTCACTATTTTTGTTATGATGCAGCATGTTTGATTGTTGTTAGTTGAAGTTTAATTTTGTTGCTTGTTTATTGTTTGGAGCCTTTTTAATGTTCAATAAAATAAGTAAAAAGCCATTTCTTTGCTTGATAATTGTTGCTATTTGCAGTCAGTAGAGTGCAATATTTAGTTCATCAAGTCATTTATCAAAATGTATGCTAAATTTGTCATAAATATTTAAAAGAAAAGCTAAAGTTAAAAGAGCCGTTTGAGAGCCAAAAAGAGCCGGCTCTTTTTACTGAGCCGATCCAAATGAACCGGAACACCGAAGAGCCGAAAATCCCATCACGAAGGCTTTCCAGTATTTTTTATCACGTGTGTTGTGAAAATTTGTCCACCAGAGGGAGACAAAGACCGGAACTTGACTTTTCAAATTTTCTTTCTCCTCACCAGTGTGCCAACCACACGTGGAGGGCAGTAGAGTACTCAATTCTTATTAAATAATGTTTGTTTTGCGCATTAGCTCTCTTAAAATTGATTTGACATCTCCTCTAGATGCTCAGCTGAATGTGATTTGTAGACATAATCTTGTTAAAAAGCTTGAAAGGTGCACCGAGATAAAGTGCAACAAGGTGATAATAGGTGGAGTAAAAGCCTGAGGTCGAGATTTCAATCACATCAAGCGCTGATGGACACTTTTTTGTTTGTTCTCATCTGCATTTTTATTAAAGACGATGTACAACCAGTAAAAATATTCTCGGACAAAAAGCACAACAGCAAATATAGATTTTAAGATTATAATATAAGAACCTCATAGTTGCAGTAAAAGCAGAACATTGAATAGAGCCCACCGTATTAAGATTAATTATGGATGTTGTATTCATTTCAATCAATATAAATGTTCTAAGCATGGCTGAAGGTGTACTAAATCGTTGTATTGTTTTTTTAAAAATAGATTACTCAAAAGGAAACTTGAAATGAAAAAAAAATCGTTTATTAGAAACAATTACTGTAATTTACAGATTATCATACCAGCTATTGATAATTTATCATCCTACATTTGTTTTCTTCTTTATACAAATGTGTCCCAATTTCACCTGTTACGTTTTTATACAACACAATACATCTTTATTTATATTTTTTGCCCCTTTGCACATCATCACCATTTCATTTAAAAGCTTAAAATTATTTGCACACTGCCCACTTAACTGTCGATTACTTATACACGTCACTCACTAATATTGTTCTTCATTTAATGCAGTCGCATTTCTAAAACAGAGCACATTACGAGAGGGAACTGTTCTGAAAACATATGACTCTGCCTGTGTATACAACCACAAACACATTTATTTGTCACTAGCTCATAAATTGGAATTTTTTTTCCATGCAGTGTGCCGCACACAGGTGATTCTATCACAAAGTGACACACGGCATCAGCACATTTACAAGTCACAAATCATTTTTTCCCCCTTGTATCAGGAGGAGCAGGTGGCTGCCTAGAGGAAGATGGTTTGCGGCTTTGATCCAACCTTCATTTTGGAGCTCAGCAGAGTTGTCACTAAACGGTAAGTAAGTTTGGGGAGAAACTTCAAATGTGGTCCAGACTGATCAGTAATTGACGGGAAGGATAAAGAGTAAGACGGGAAGACGTTGCAATTTTCATTCACAATCGAAAGGGACAATCAGAAAAAAACATAACAAGAAATGTCCACAGAGGGGAAGTTGCAATCATTCAACGGTATTCGCCACCTACTATTTTTCCATGAAAATGATTCTTTATGTTTCTACTAAGCACTTCCTTCATTTGAAATTGAATCCACGCACAACAAGAGGTCACGGAACTTTTGGAAACTGCTTGGGTCCAGATTATTGCTCAGGCCTCCCAATTTAATACATACCTCTGAAATAACACATTTTTTCTCAAATAATTATGCACTATCAATATGAGTAATTAATAATTTTAATGTGAAACACTGATCATGTTCACGATTTTTCACAATAATGGTCAACAACTCTCTAACAAGGTAAGAAACGGATAAATATACACTCTGGACTTAGTCTGTAAATCTCTTCAAGTGTTTCAATTTTTACATGAGCATTTCTACAACCATCTCAGGAAATCACAATGTCCCATGATTGCTGAACTATGTCTAAAACAGGATGGTGGGCTGTTGGTGATCCCTTATGTAAAGCCACAATTCGGTAAAGAGTGCTTGCACAATCTCACAGGAGCCGATACCCTTTGAAAAAAGAAAATCTGCTTCACAAAACAAACAACGTTAACCCTCCTGTTACGTTGCGGGTCAAATTGACCTGCTCTAAAGTAAATTTAAAAATCAAAGAAATTATTCTTAATGTTTAAAATGCATTTTCGCTATGGCGGGCGTCGACTGTAGAGTAAATATACAAATTGTTTAAATAGTTATATTCCTCCATCTTCGTAAGTCACTGATCAAGTATTGTGTTGGGGTTTTTTTTTCTGCTGATCGACTCCTAAAATGCTGATCGTGTAAAGCCTAGTTTGAAATTCATTAATTTATTATTATTATATATATATTTTTTATGATGCAATGAGTCAAACTGGCTTGTTTCAAAGTTTCACAATCAAAGATTCTGGGGTGGGAAAATAGTTTTTCGAATTTTCTACTTTGTAATTATATCCATCCATCCATCCATTCAATTTCTATACCGCTTCTCCCCACGGGGCCAGTGAGCTGGAGCCTATCCCAGCTGCCTCCAGGCGACCGGTGCGGTACATCCCGTACTGGTTGCCTGCAAATCGCAGGAAACATAGAGACAAACATCCGTTTCGACTTACACCTAAGGACAATTTAGTCTTCAATGACCCTCATACAGGACAATCGTGTCAGTCAAAAACTGAGCATTATTACCCCATAGTGAGAGGTCTTGTTTTGAATCGTTGATTTGTTTGGGCAAAACGACACATCCCGTTTTCCACCCCACCTATCTGGAAGAATAGCACACATGCCTAGCAAGAGATTTTTGTGTGAATCTGGTCAAAACGCCTGATGTGGAAATAGATTTTGGCTTGTGGTTGTTAGTTCACTTACACTGGGGGCAAAGCAGAGAGCTGTAGTTGGAAAGCATGTTTTTTTTTTTTCCATACTACCCTTATATTAGACTTATTAGACTATGCAGGTGTACCAAATGTTTTGGCAGCAGTTTTTCAATTAATCAGCATAGAAAATGCACAATGTTCCATGTGGTCCTAACATGTTTGCATATATTGAACTAATGACACACAACACCTTGCTGTTTAGTACATACCATATCTCATATACTGTCACACATTAATTACATCAGTGGTTCTCAAACCGGGGGCCTCAGACACCCAGGGCTCCGAGAGCGGCAACTTGGGCTCCGGAAATTTCTTTAAAATAAATGATAGCGCATCATTTAGCTTTAGCTTTGCTTTGGGCCCATCAAAAGTTTCCAACAAGTGGATAAATCAGTCCATTTGATTTGAAAACAAAATGCATTGTCTGATACTTTGTGGGAATTAAACTTAGGAGTTGCGTTTTTTTCAAGAATAGCCATTAGAGCAGGAATGTCAAACTCATTTTTGTCACGGGCCACATTGAAGGTAGTGTTTCCCTTGGAGGGCCATTCGGACTGTGAAACCATACAAAGAAGTCAAGCATAATGGTGTATTATTGTCTCAGTTACTGTAATGAGAGGTTAGGTAACAAGAAAATGCTTACGACATCTCTGTTATTTATCACATATGCAAATTTGACATTTTGGTTTGGATTTTGGCAACCATTATGAAAGTTGACTTGTTTGATTTGCTTTACGGGCCACATAAAATGATGTGGCGGGCCAGATTTGGCCCTCGGGCCTTGAGTTTGACATAGAGCGATTGGAAAGGTGACAAATATAGCGACCAAGTCGCCATGTTTGCAACAGTGATTATACTTTTTTTTTTTTTTTTTTTATACACGAGCTCCTTTCCGGTCACGCCCTGTTGTTAGTGGAACCAGTGCATGCCGGCTGATGATGGATAAATCTTGCAATTATTTCAATTGGATTAAGTTTCTTTCTTTTAAACCGGTCATGTTGGTTGAAACCCTTAAAATAGAAATCATTCCTGAGGCATTCAGGGGTGCACATTGTCGTTATGTTTAATTGGTGTTATGAGGGAGTCCTTGGAGAAATGTCTCCTCCTGTCAGAGGTCCCTGGACCCAAGAAGTTTGAGAACCCCCGCATTAAAGTACTTACAATCAAGTGCCATGTTTGTGCTGGAATGTACATTCAAACGTATATCGACAAGGTCCACCTCTGCTATACATTCGCTGTAAACACCTTCCAGAGGTCAGATGGAGGTATAGTGCTTCCCGAAGCTGTTCAGTCTGATCTTCTCCGGCAGGATGATGTTCACCGAGTGTTCTGTGTCCTCGTGGCTCGCCCCGCCCGCCTCCTTCAGCAGGTGCTCGCGCTGCTGCCGCACGAGCTTGCTGTACTTGGCGTTGACCAGCCACGCCTCACAGCGGCCGAACAGCACGATGCCCGTGGTGGCCAGAATGACCAGGCAGGTGAGCAGGGCTAGCATGCCGAAACACACCAGCTGACCGTGGCTGGACAGCACACCGGGGGAGTGGTGCACCGTCTCTTTAAGCGTGATCTTGAGCAGATCCCTCTCGGGCGGTTGGAGAAGCTTGTGGAAGGCGTGGGCAGGAAGCGAGTAGTGCTGCGGAGTCAGCGAAAACACCCTGTGGTCGGCGGGCTTGGCGGCAGCCTGCTTGGGCTTGGCTTTCGGCCGGTGCTGCGCGGAACACAGCCGGCCCGAAAACCATTTGGGGCAAACGCAGCGAAAGCTTCCGTCAGGGTGGCTGACACACGTGGCCCCGTTGGCGCAGGGTGCGGCGGCGCACGGAGAGAAGCCGGTGTCGTTACAAATCAAACCGACGAAGCCTGCTGGGCAGGAGCATGCGAAGGTCGCGCCGTGGTCAGTGCAGTTGCCGCCATTTAGACACGGGTTGGAATGACAGATGTCAGGAGTGATCTCGCAGTGGTTTCCAGAAAATCCAGCGGGGCATAAACAGGAAGCTTCCAAGGCGTCACCCGTTTCGGTACAAGTGCCTCCATTCTGGCAAGGAGAGCTGTAGGACAGAGTGAAGAAAATAATGCTCACAGGTCCATGAAGGTGCGCACCGACAGTTTAGTGGTTCACTCGTCTGCGAGCGAGGCTTCGGTTCCCACTAAGTGACGGTGTGAGTGTGAATGTTTGTCTGTATGTCTCTCAGGGTCATGTCCTAGGGCCCTTTTTCTTTCTTTTTGTTTGTTTTCTTTAAGACGAAGACCACATATATTGAATATACGTTTCATTTCTCGGTCATTCTGGGTGCTGAGATGAAAGCTGGATTTAACTTTTAAAAAAGAGCATGAATAATTTATGATGTCCCAGAGTGTAGGCTTTCTTTCTTTAAGATAATATGTGACTTCTTTATTTATAGGTTGTTGTGATGGGCTTTTTAAAATAACGTTGAAGGATTATTCCCATGTATCTGATGGAGAAGCCAATTTATTTTGAATATCTGACGCCATAGCAGAGAGTAGCAGAAGCCAAATTTTATTGTCATCCTGTTTTAGTTCTTATTCTATTCTCTCGAGAGCAGTCATGGGTCGCCCCCTTTTCTTGCTTTTTGAAAACACATTATGTGACCTCTGAAATTAACTTTTGGGTTTCTTGACACTGAAGTTTCCATCAACTGTCAAAGATATTTTTCCTATATAGCATTTATGTGGGAGCCATGATTTTGATTATCTAATACGAAGAACCCTAGTCAGCAGACGCAAACGGTCCTTGTTCCCACTGTACCTGTCTTCATCTGTCTTCTTGAAAATGGCTTTTAAAGATCACAAGCAAGTTAATGAAGCTCCTCAGGGTAGTATTCTAGGGACCCTTATTCTTTGTTTTGTTTTTGTTTTTTTCATTTTATTCACGAAAATCTATACAGGTATGTAGTATAGATTCACAGCTCCTAGCATCTACAAGCTTCTTATGGGGTTCAGCATACTTGGTGAAAAAATGTTGGATGGATAGGCGGACGGATGTTTGGATGGATAAGTCAATACTGTGGATGGAGGGATTGATGGATTGATGGACAGACAGACGGATAGGTAGATAGGTAGAAAGAATCTATTGATTTTGAATCCAGCTAAAAATAACTCCAAAGTAGCAGAAGCCAGAGGTTCTTGTCACCTCTCTCCTGCCTCAGTTCTCATCCGATCGTTCTTCACTCTTGATTTCTGTCAAGGTGAGAACCTTGTTCAATTTGTCACATCCGGAGGTTCACTTTATAAGCCTTGCCTGTCGGTCTGTCTACAATATTCTTGACTTGTTAAAAACAGTAATTTCTTGTGTTGTTTTGGTTTAAAAGTTGACTTGAATATCTTGCATCTTTTTTGCACATTTCATACTGATGGATTAACTTCCTTTAATGCATGACTTTTTTTGATAGTATCAAACCTTACTCTTTGGTCATAGGCTGCTTTTATAAACAGAGGGTTGATTTATGAGGTCCCTCAGGAGCCCTGTCCTGGAACCTTTTCAATTTCACAATGTAGTCCATGTCACTTAAAATAATAAGCTACCTCGATATTTGTGCAGAAAATCCAGAGAAGTTAGTTTAACTAACTAATCTACCTGGAGACAGGGTACAACTACATTACCTGAAATAAAAACCAGAGGAAATTACATATTCGCGGCTCTGGAGCCATTATAGAGCGGCCACACTTATAAAACATTTAATGTTGGAGCAGAATCAATGAGTCACGTCCTCTGCACTGGGGGCGTTGCTGTCTGCGTGTGACTGTAATACTGCGTCTTCTCTACGCATTGCAATTGTGTCTCGTGTTTGTGTTGGGGGTCATTGAATTCGGAATAAGATGTTTAAATGAAGACAAAGTGCTGTGAATGCCAAGTGAAGGTCATCGCATCTAATTTTTAGTATAACAAGATTCCGCCTATACCAGCACTGTCAAATCTCTGACATGCAAGTGAAAGATATTGGATTGGGCGGGGGGGGGTCTCTTGCCTCGATCTCACGGGAAGGCTACCAGACAGACACACGGCATTTTGAAGAGTACTCAGATTTGCCATCTCATTTATGTGTCAAGGTTTGTGGAGAGCAAAAATACTCTCGGCAGGCTTAATAATTACAGTATTTTTATTCTAATACTATCTTTAAACTCTTCACTACAGAGAAATTATACCTCAAACTGAAAGAAACAACCATCACAATAACCCTCTCTAAACAGCCATGTTTTAATCCGAGAGGAGCGGGAGTGGGGGCATTGGCGGAGGGTGTGGGGGGGTAGAGGTGCCTGCGAGGTGTTGCCAAAACTATTTTCTGACGTGAGCTGCTCACATCAAATTAATTGGTCATGTAATTTCACACTTGATTGGCAAGCTGGCTCTCAAGAGAGGCAACTATTTGTGTACAAGCAATTAAAAATTTAGCTTCCTGGCACATGTCCCCTTTAAATTGTCACTTCTGTGATGCTGAGGTCCATTTGTGTCTTAATCTAGGAGTATGGTCGCCTTCAGAGGACAAAAGACGTTTGGCAAAGCACTCTGTTGTAAAATTCCAATTTGAGTTCTCGCTCTCTCGGGTCGACTGACATCCAAATTCAATCCAGTTCATGTTGATTCAGGATCATCATCCTTGAGAGACTTTGAGAACTAAAGCGCAATCAGCGCAATCTAGAGCAAAGCGCGTGGGTGGAGTTTTCTTTCTTGTCGTAGTTTGGTAGATGCAAGCTGTTGGGAGACGGCCGTTTGCGCCACTGTGGGAGTGAACGCAGCTTACTTGCTACCCGGCCAATGGAAGCAGCTCCTCTCATTCCCTTTAAATTCAACACAGGAGTGGTGCACGGTCTCCATGGTGAAGGCATAATAAACTGACTCGCTGGAGTCCATGCAGGAGATTGACACGCGCAACACATTTTTAAGGTGGGGGTTTCTTGAATACAAAAGATGGGGCCAGAGACAGCAGTTTTTTTCTTTCACATACCATATTCATCATGTACTATTGCCAAGTCATAGTATGACAAAAAAACATTTTTCTTGGAAAGGACTTTGATTTGATTCTTCTGGGACTACTGTAGACGGCTACATTAGCAACTGGCAAGCTGCCGTGAGCTCGTCATTTAATTTTTTGCTTTACGCCTCATGTCAACTGTGTTAGGCTGCAGTTGACATGCGACAATAATGAGGAGACGCATGATAGAAAATGGAACGATTGTGGTTGAATTTATATTTTACTTGTTGGGCAGCACAACAAGAAGTGCGATGTGTGTGTCTTTTAATTTATGGAACAGTAAACTTCTGGTCACACTTTAGAATGTTATATGTTACTTAAAAAGAAATTCCTGTACAGTAATTAATGGCAGCAGTTTGGGCTCCAAAGTTAAAAATTAAACTTGGGGAAAAAAATGAAATCAATTCTCGTACCCATCAATGAGACAGATGTTCCTCTTCAACTGACAGGTTGGTCCGGTGAAACCTTGGGGACAGACGCACAAGTATCCCCCCTCACCCGTCTCTATGCAGGTGGCATTCCCAGAACAAGGCTGTGATGAGCACAGGCGAATATCTGCAATGACACGCACAAAAAAAAGAAGCATTCTCTTTGTATCTGTCTCTTTCCTTCTTTCATTCCATTTATTCCTTCTCCCTCACTCTCTTCCCACATGCTTGGCAACATCTCTCCTCGTGTCCTTTATTTCCACTCCACCGCTGCGACACTCTCTGCCATAACTCCCAAATCGCATACCCTATGATGGGGAATATGTTCTCAAGTACCTTGTTTCACGACCAAGGTCACCTTCAGCAACCTTCACCCCCTCCCACCCCCTCTAAAAATAAATCCCAGGATATTTCACATGTTCCCTGGGGCTCAGTGACTCACCTGAAGCCCCAGGCTCGTCTGCCGCTGTGTGTGTGTGTGTGTGTGTGTGTGTGTGTGTGTGTGTGTGTGTGTGTGTGTGTGTGTGTGTGTGTGTGTGTGTGTGAGACACTTAATGGGGTCTCACCTTGGTCACAGAGGCTGCCCACCCAGCCCTGCTGACACACACACTGCCACGCTTTCTCACAGGAGCCATGCAGGCAGCCCGGGAAGGGGATGCAATGCTCGCAATGGACTCCTTGCCAGCCTGGTTTGCACCTGCGCAAAAAAAGGGAACAATCCTGAACTATTAATACACCCACGCCGCCCTTGTCCCCATAATGCCAGCGTGCTGAGATGAGGCTTTGATTATAGCCAGAAAATCCATTGTTTGTGCAAACAAATGGCCGATTTGGCAGTTGATGGAAGAGAAGCAATCAAACGGCACTCCAGATGATACATTAAAAACACAGGATATGAGTTTTTTTTTTTTTTTTTAATCTAAGCATCCCTACCTGCACTTTCCGGTCTTCTCACAAAAGCCATTCTCTGCGTTGCAGCTGCATCCCCAACCTCATGAGAGGAAAAGAGAGATGCGTTGTTTTATTCATGCCGTCGTAAGACACAATAAGAATACAAAAGCTCCTCAAGTTGACAATGTAACTTAAGTCGAATCGAATTACCTCCGGCGACGCCTGTTACGGCTACAAACAAGAGCGCGGCCGTGAGATGCATTGCGATGGTCAGTCTGGAACAAATTCCTACAAATACGAAATACAAATACATAAACAGTTTCCAAATGCGAAATGCATCACTGTTGTTAAAAGTTGACAAATTGAAGACATCTAAAAAGTTCACCGAACAGTGAAGGCACGCTTTTTGTCATCGTATCTTTTTGGATTCCAGTGGCACACCTGAATGCGTCTGCATGCACAAAGCACCCACGTAGCCATCACAGACAGAGGGATAAGCCACTTCCTAAAGCTTCACTTTTACCATCAAAATCGTTCGAGTCATTTATACACAAATGATCTTACCTATGTAGCACCGGCGCGCAGTCTCCGGGTGATGCGACTCATATTTGAGGCATGCGTCAGGGCTGGGAGAGCCAAGAGCCAGGACGCGTAGATGAAAGTGATAACAGAGCTGCTCTAGATGGAGAGGTAGGGAGGGGGGCAGGGGGGTGGGGGGAGGACACGGATGGTTTTGACGGGACTGCTGCATCGAGCAGCATCCCGATGCAACAAGCTCCTCCTACCCCATAAAGGGGAGAATGTGCGTAACGGCAGCGTGATACCCACCTCCCCCCACCACCAACCCTCCGCCACCTCTCCCTAAGGGCTGAGGTGCAATCAAGTGCCACCGCTGTGATGCCTGCGACTGGCAAGGTAATGAGACTCCCCAGTGATGATTTTGTATGAAAATAAATAAAAACAGCATCAGGAAAACTGCAAGGTGAAGGTTATCTCTTACTGCCTGGTGTGCTGTTTAATTCAAATTTATAAATTACAGCGACAGGGCTACAATTTAAACTCTGTCAATGACCTCAATTCTAGCAGAGCACAGGAACGTAGTACTTGAACATGTCATTTTTTGGTCACTTGTTTCTGGGCAGACTTCATATGACTCTATTATCTCGGAAATAATAAGCATATGCAAGCCACACTAGAATTTGATTTGAAGAGATAATTTGGGGGAAACAGCGAGTGAACAGAAACATGAGCTAAGGCAATGGGACATTGTTCCAAAAACAGACAGTGAGCAGGAACAGGAAATCGGACGTTCGAACAATATTACTCCAAAAATGACAATGGTACACAAAAAGCAACAGAGTTGGCAAAAAAAAAAAAAAAAACCTCAGACTATCAAAGTCACAGGAACAGGAACACTGCGGGGATATTAATTACCCAGCTAGCTTGGGGCGCCACCTGAAGGATTGGAGTGGAAGAGCATGTTATCTGGGGATTGCTATGATAAGCCGTGATGTCTTAATGTTACAAAACCAACAGGAAGAAATGACAAGTCGAAAACTCGCGGTAAAAGCTAAAAGAATAGATTTGTAAATCATTTTTAAAAAATGATAAACACATTTTGCAAAACTCCAAGCACAAGACAAATTAAATCTGTGACTTCGCCAAATCACCAAAAAGACAGAAACGATCACTTTTTCCTTATCGTGTAATGTATGAATTTTAATAGCCTGCGCATGCAGCGCCAATCTGCCATACATAATAATGTCCGTCTCTATTTTTAGTCCACTTATTGCTGTCCGCAGTCTAAGGCCTGCCAAGGGCGGTGGTGTTTTCCCCCCGAGAATGTTATGTTAATTGTGATGACGAATATCATTCACTCATCTTTGAGGGATGAGTCATCAGCAACACAAGTATCAATACTAGGCCAGATTTTGAGGTATATTTTTCTTCCTTGTTGTTTACAATGGAGAGAGGGGAATGTTTTGTAAATGAAACATTTGAGCTTCCACCAGGTGTGTGGCCGTCACAGTCTAGACTCAGACAGTGCAAGCGGGGACTCTCATATGAATGCAAATGGCAGCAAATATATATATATATATATATATATATATATA